ATGTATCCGCTCCAAGCAAATGCACTGAGAGTCTGGAATATGTGATGGGAGTGAAGTAGCCTTGATTCTGATGTGATATGATTCTGATATGACTGTGTTAAAATGTTTGGATAATTTGGGTAAGGCTCAAAAGCCCATAAGAAAAGTTATTGGTAATACTATTTCTGAATTTACTAATAGGGAAGGAGTGGCTGCTAGGCAATACATAGCAAAAGTGTAAGTTTCAACTGAACATTTGTTGGTTTCTAGTAAAGCTGTATGAATGGGCAGTACTTGTCTTAACAGTACTTGCCACCTTGTGAAGTACTGAGGCAGGGCTAATTCATTTCAACCAATGGCCTCACTTCAAAATAAGTGGCTGTTCAACAACTGTGCTGGTTAGAAGTAAAGAGGGAGGACTTTGCATTACAGGTAGTCCTTGCTTAATGACTGCCCTGTTTAGCGACTGTTTGAAGTTACAACGGCACTGAAAAAGTAACTTTATGACTGGTCCTTGCATTATGACTGTCGCAGCATCCCAGTGGTCATGTGATTGAGATTCAGGTACTTTGCAACTGGCGGGTGTTTATGACCATCACAGTGTCCTGTAGTCAGGTAATCATCATTTGCACACTTTACAGCCGACTTCCAACAAGCAAAGTCAATGGAGAAATCAGCAGTAAAATCGCAAGTTGCAGTCACCTGATATCTTACTTAACAACTGCAGTTGATTCACTTAATGACCATGGCAGAAATGGAGTTGTGAGTCTGTCATGGTCATGTGATATCTTGCTTAATGACCGCATTGCTTAGCAATGGAGTTGCTGGTCCCAATTGTGGTTGTTAAGTGAGGACTACCTGTACATTTTCGTTTTGGATTAGAAATAATAAATTTCTGATTTTTCTGCATGCCTCATCCTTCATTCAGCAATACAAATGAATCAGTCATTCAACCTGAAGGCTTGCAAAGATTTTGCCACCAACATTACATTAGACTTCAGTTTAATAATTATATTATACCTATTTTGAATAACAGGCTTACATAATCTAATCATAAATTAAAGCATGTGTACATTTATCTAGTAAGCAGGAATAGCAAAGGTGGGTTTAAATTGAAGTTCTTTCCTGACAGCCCAGATATCTCACCTAGGTTCTCTTTTAAAAATATTTATTGTTATGACCATTGGTTTGTGTATGTATGTGATATTCTATTTGGCATATCTTTCATATACACAGAGAGAAACAGGAAATCATGGCAATAAAGCATTCCAACATACAATAAATCCTGGGACTTATAGAATATATATAGCCTAAAACATTTTGTAGCTTAAAGCAAAAGACAGTATGACACTACCACCCATTCTATGTACAAAGGCTGTGTAGACAGTTGAATCTTTCCTCAACATGGGTAATGAAATAGCATCATACATCATACTTGAAGGCAACAAACTAGCTTAGGGAATGCAGGTAAAATCACACAGCACATAACTCCTCCAAAGTCTTGTTGCAACTTATCAGCAATTGCCAACTTTGGTGATTACTGCCTAATTTTACACTATGCCTTGAGAATATGTGGCTTATAACAACAGGACAGATGCAATTGTTTCAAAATGTAATATTCAGTAGCCTGTACTGTACAGCATTTGCTACATCTGAAATGTAATATTCAGTAGCCTGTACTGTACTGCATTTGCTACATCTTTCAAAGATACCTTCATGCTTTCCCATCTTTCAACTGATGTTTAGATCTTCAGTAGCATATATTGCCTAAATACCTTACCGCTTAAAGAGCTCTCTGTCCTGATCCTATTAATATCTATAGTTGGGAAAGCACACAGAGATTCTTGTATTATAACATGCTACTGTAGTACAGGCAGTCCTCGTTTAGCGACTGTTTGCAGTTACCACAGTGATGAAAAAGTAACTTTGTGACCTGTCCTTGCATTCATGATGCTTGCAGGTCTGTAAAGCAAAGGAAAGTTGAAATAAGATCATAAGCATAATCACGGTTTCACTTAGCAACTGCTTCACTTAACGACTGAGTTGCCAGTCCCAAATGAGGACTATGTGTATATCAGGAGCATGAGAATGTATTCATAGAAGTGAATCTGTATTCACTGAAGGATCTACAATTATCCAATATATTCAGCCTTGCCCACGTTACCATTCTCAGTCCTTTATCTATTTCTCTGTTGCATTATAATTTTACAAGCTATTAAAACAACACATTTGCTATTCTGATTTGTTTAATAATATTGGGTCTTGAGTCAACTTAAATTGCTAGCCACTGATTTTTAGTCACCAGAGAACATGGGCTAGAACTAAATGCAAGTAGCCTATAAACTGGGCCTATAAATCAATTCCTTGCACAGATCTGAAAGCACGCCTATAGAAAAGAATCACCACCAATATTATCTGACATCAGAAATGCTACATTCAAATGTCCGTAAAATACTGCAATCTAATTCTGCTACTAACATGGCATTGCCCAAAAGAGGAATAACAAAAGAAAGACCGCTGAATTTTCTACTGCTGACCATGCATATATCTTTTCCACAAGGATAAATTTACCTAATACATGGAGTGTGAAGATAGAAGATTTTATCAGAATAAATATTTGATTGATTGAAAATTTATTATTGCTGAGAGTCTTTTTCCCCCTTTTCAGTTGAGTTGGATAATGGTTCTCTCTTAATGGCCCCCAAATTCAGTTTTTAAAATATGCAAATTAGTGAAACATCTGAAACCAGGAAGAGCCACAGACTGTGACTTAATCAGGAATAATTTAGAATGGTGGGTCCCAAATTTGGTATGTCTTCTTATTTGTATTGATCTGTTGACCTGTATCCCTAAAGATTGGGACTGGGATTTTTATGAAGGATAGACTGGATAATCTGGACAATTATAATCCTATTAGCATTTTAAGTATTATTAGCAAAACCCCAACATCTTTTCTAGAAGTTATTGTATTGCCTTCATTCTAGAAACGTTCTGGTGGGAGAAGAGCATGGCTTCAGAGCCACCCATTCAACCATGGACAAGGTTGATGTAATGCCATCTAGTTAAAAAATACTAAATTATTCCCTTAAGTAGTCTTTGTTAACTTCAGCTGTGCATTTGATCTTATCTTGAGGAAAAACTGTGAAGCAAACACAAGGACTCACTGATAGATCTGCATTTGTTTACTCTCATTTATAGATTATATCATAATACTTGTGTAAGAGTCAAGTGCATAAGATTAGGCCAATTAATGGAGAAGATTCATGTTTGGAGACAGTTTATAATAAGGGTGCCTCACTCATCTCTTGCTTAACTTTTAAATTAACTTTGTAGCAGGGCATCATGGATTATTCCCTTGAATATTTTATGCCTTTGGGATATGAATGGGCTAGATTGGTTCTTGAGGAAATTATTTAGGTGTAGAATGTCAAAATGAACAAAATATTATCCCTAAAACTGTAATTTTAGGGAGCCAGTTGTACTGTTCCAAGCCAGCAAAGTATCCTGATTTGCTCACTATTCCTAAATATTACAGAAACATTCCATCAGCAGTTTTGGAGAGCATATTTAAGAAAACTCCATATATGCAGCCACTATATCCTTGTGACTGTGGGGCAGTGTTGTTGGTGCTGCATCTTTTGCTGAGATTCACTCAATTTATTGTTAGTCCTACTTAATGATTCTGTTTTTTTCCCCTTGTACTGATGAACATTAGGTCTGGTTCCTTCTTTCCAAACAAAATTATTACATAATGTAGCTAAATTCTGTTTGGTTGCTAATAGAAACTGAGAGCAGATATCTCAGATTTAATCCGTGCTTGTTTAGTTAGTTTCTAATTTAAATTGGTAGAATAATTATGGCATCAGTGTTTGAGATTCTACCATAATTCTATTATTTCATTTTTGTTGATTTTTGCTAGCAATAATTGGTTAACTATATTATTTATGAATATATTTTGCCAAAAAACTAGCCATAAATTCTAATTTGGTTTAAAATAAGAGCAGTTATAAGATCTCCTTTTACGTTTACCAGAAGTTATCAGGTGCAACCATTATCAATATTTGAAGAACGGTATATATAGCTTCATTGAACATCAAGACAAAAAAAATCTTCAATATTATATGAAATTCTTATATCAAGCAAAAAGGGCTCCCTTTAATGTCTCAACAAACTTTGGCAAGATGATTTGGAATTTGAACTTGATCAGACCAGCCCATGCTCATTGTGGCAAAGGATCCCTTTCTGCAAGTAATCCCATAAAAATTTTCCATAAATGTTACAATCTCTTCTAAAATTGTATTATGTAAATTGTACTGTTTCTAGATTGCTTTTGAAAGAGGGTACTCCAACTGGAAAATGTTATCATCTTTAGTTCCAGTGCCAGATTATCTATTATTTTAGGTTAAAAGAAATCTTGAAATCACTCAACAGTTTTTAAATTGTTATAATGTGCTCTCAAATTACTGTTCATTTTTATTAAGATGTATAAATATAAGAAATTGTTTCTGTTGTTAGCTTCCAGGTGTAGTAGTGTTAAAACACTGGAAAGCTAAATACTTATTTCTTTAGATCATTGATACCAAACTGTGGAAACATGCATTGATTTAAAAATTAAAACAACAGTGAAAGACATGGTTATTCAAATCTGGTCTCTATTTCTTAGCTTATTAAATTTTTCTTAATATATTATCTTCATATTTACAAATGGTTTTCTGGATAGAAATATTGAAAATGGATCTTTAAAATATTTGCATTTCTCAAGATTACATGTACTCATACTTTTCATTCTTTGCTTATTCTCCTTTTTATTCTGTACTTTTTAAGATGTACTGATTATTTCTATTAAAAAAACAATAAAGCAGGAAGATTCAGGAGTGCAGACTGTTTCTTCTCAACCACAGGATGCTGTCACAATTATTATAACCATATATCTATATCTCTAGCTCTAGCTCTCTATCTCTCTATCTTTTCATATGAAAAGATAATGAATATAACTCCTGTTTTCTTCTGTTATGTTTTAGGAACAGCTGAAGGCTTTTGATCAAGAAGTAAATGAGTTTGTGGACTATATGTTTGGAGATAGAGGTATGCATTTTCTGGAGCTTTCTGGTTGCCCAATGACTTAGCAAGTATTTAGAAATAATGCATAATTGAACATTTGACCTGAATGGCTGAGGACAGTAAACGATGGAGAGCCTCAGAAATTCTCCCATCTGATATGTCATGTTCTTTTAAAAGCTAAGATTAAATCTGGTAGTCATGACACCATCTATTCCTTCCTTTTACTTCCACAATGCTGAGTAATAAATAATGTGCTTATGATAATAATCTAAAATGTGAAATTTGGCAAAGTTGCATTGACTTCAGAATTCCTTCTTTATTTCTTTGCAATTTGGGAATGTTCAAGAGAGATAAGAAATCCACTTGGGTGTATGGAAAAAGGAATACATCTTTCCCTTTCCTCCCACTTAGAGATCAGGAAGCAGATTTTATGGATCCAATTTGTGTGTCTAGTTTACCTCTTCCCTGTCTTATTTTATTTTATTTTATTTTATTATTTTATTGGATTTTGAGGCCATCTGACTCCAAAAGTTCTCTGGGTGGCTTACAGCATTTAAAAATACATAATTTAAGAAACATGACCACCTGGATAAAATCACATAAGTAACATTAAAAAAAATCAACAGGGGTTCCACAAATACCCTAACCCGAGGCCTGGGAGCAGAGCTAGGTCTTAAGAGACTTCCAGAATACTTGAAGAGAGGGACCCATACAAATCTCTGGGGTGTCAACCCTTCAAGGTCAGCCAGACTAGGAAACCAAAGTTATGCAGGCCAATATTTCTTTTATTATAAAGATATAGTAACAGAATCTTGCAAATCTGAATGTTCTTTCCTCTCCCTCCCTTTATCTTCATGAGAATTAGGGAGAGTTTTGTCTGAGATGTTTTCTCAGGTTACAGTTCTGCCTCGGACTCAGGTTTCTTTTATCTGACCATTGTCTTGGTAGTGGCTCTTCCTCCTGTTATTTAAGACCATTCCCTCTGCCCAGTACACAGGGGGATGCTGTTCCAGAGAGCAGGGGCCTCAGCAGAGAAGGCATGCTTGTTTGGTCCCACAAGATAACGACGTTTAATTGAGGGGACCTGGAGCACACTCGCTCTGACCATGTGTACCAGATGGTCAGAACATTTGGAGATAGGCAGTCCCTCAGATAACCAGGCCCTTTGCGATGAACTGCTTCATAGGTGGTGAACAGTGTCTTGAATTGAGGCCAACTGGTAACCCATGCAGCTCGCATAGCAGCAATGACACATGGCGTAGGGAGGAGCACCCATTTTTCTTTCCAATTAAATATATTTTATTTAATA